AGCGACTCAAATGGTTCGGCATGTAACTAAACCCTACGACACGCGAAGGGAAGGATTATCACTGGTTACCTACCGTATCGCAGCTTCGTATGGCCGGGGCAACCGCAGGAAAATTCCGGTTTCGCTCGTTGTAATCCATAAACGAGCACTCGTGTAAAATGAATTCAGTAGAAGTAAGGTTTTGCATTATTATTTCGGTTAAAATAACGCTCTCGGAACGAGGGGCGGGGGGGGGTTTTTAAAAAAGACGGAATAATTACCGAGCACATTTGAAGGGAGTATTAAAATTTTTAACGAAATTTTAATTTATATACGGCTATGTGAAACAAAATAACAGACGAGAGATGTAATTCCCTTTCTCGTTTTTCTGTCTTCAGGTCGCGGTAGCTCCGCCTATCACTAAGTACATTGCACCTGCCGTCACAAAAGTGGCGTACGCCGCGCCTATCACGAAGGTAGCCTACGCTCCAACTTATTCTGCGCCATCAGTAAGCTATGGCCACTATGGATACACGATTCCGCCATCGGTCACCTACCTTCACAGCGGTCTCGGATATGGTGGATACGGTCATGGATACGGTGGTGGATATGGTCTCGGTAATTACGGTTACGGACTCGGCTACGGTCATGGTTATGGATACGGTGGATACTACCATTGAGTGGGATCGAAGCAAAGTCTCGAGGAATAAACGCCTTCTTCGACAAGTTTGATTGTAAATGGCTGGAGACGCAGCCTAGCTACGTACTGCCAAAAACATTGTCATCGGCTTTGTACTTGATGTTCATAATATATATTTTCATACTTTACGTCGTCTCTATTTCTTATGTATTCAACAGCGTATTCAACAGCGAATTCTGAAAGTACTTAAAGAGCAAAGATATATCCTGAGAGATCTTCCTACGTCCATTTCTCAACAATGATTAACTTCAATTTACTCTCTTGTCTTCTTTTAGTTTTAAGAATTAGAAAAAGATGGAGCAAATTAATCCAAGATGAAAGTTAACCTACATTGGTAGAAATGGGTCTTGATCTTTTGGATTATATCCCTTAAGACTGTGACGCACGAAAAAACTTGAGCAGTAAGCGAATCGACGTTTTAGATTTGCTATGACTTACGTCTTACTGCTTTTCTTATGTGCTGTTGTAGCTTTAGTTGCGTAAAGAACTCTTGAAAAGGAATATTTCGGAATAACATGCCTTTCAAACATTTCTACGTCATCTGGCCAATTATTCAAATCAGCTTTGGTATTATGCGTACATGCTAAAAAATTCTTCGACGTTACGTATTATCTTATCGTTATTAATTTTCGATTTCGCGGTTGCTGCGATTTCAACAGCTCGTTCCACTGGCCTCTCTCGAGACGTACCATCGCTGATCGGTAACGGGATCCATATCGCGTATCTTACACCCGCAAAGATCCGTCACGTCTGACCGGGGACGCGGTTGTTAAAGGCTTTTATACATTCAATCTTAGACCATCCATCCATCCATTCGTGCATCCAGCAGAGCGTAAGAGCGTTGCGCAAGGTGAGAAGGAGGTGTTGAGCAGCGTGGAGGTGTACGAGCGCAATGAAGAAGCGAGGTTTAAGAGTAGATCAAGGCTAAGGCGAGGCACCCGCAAACTTTGTTTATCAGACCGATCAGACCGTTTTGGTCCTTTTACTTTAGCGTAACTTCAATTTCTCGATTTTATATAATAACGCGCGCTTTATGTAATACATGTACTCGCTTCGTTAAAGTCGCGTAAGTCTTATCTCCTCAATATTTGATCGCACGTTTTGATAAGCGCCTTATTACTCAATACGGTAGATTGCTAAAGATTTCTTAAGTGGCCCTCTAAATTTGTGCAGGTTGGTAAAATTAATACAGCCAAGTTAATATAGCAAGTAATATCAAAATCGTATCTATCAAGAGCTCGAAATCGGTAATCTTATAAGTTGAATTAGACGCTTGATTAAGATAATCGTCAGTTTATTTCAATTGTTGTTGACGAAAAAACGTTATCATGTTTCAATGTGTCAAAGATAACATTCTCAGTCTTAATGAAAGCAAGCTGACGATTAATTAAATTGATGCATAATGTAGATACACACGCAACCTGTTTGCAAAGCTATTCTATTTCTTTAAAGTCAACAGTTCTGTCCAAGGTAGATTGATAAAGAAGATATTCGGTAAATTATATGCGTTCCCGTTTCACATGAATTTAATTTGCATGTCACGAATACCGAGCGTCCCAGAATCACTGAAACGCTCTGTCAATCATTTTTTATGTTAAATTTACACACGTGTTTGCCTTTTTAACATTACACGTTTTTTTTTTTTTTTTTTTCATAACTTGAACCTTGAATCTTGAATTAAAATTCCGTCGGAGTGAAATCCACTTAAAATTAATCGAAAAACGTGATTTTGTTGTTATCCCCTCGGCGCTCAATTTGCGAGAAACGTTTCCGTTTCTTTACACGCTGATTATTCGAAAACTGTTAACACTTTAATATTCTCCAGAGTGGAAAATGGACTTAATGGAAGTTACTCGGAGAATGTACACTGTAAAAAGGGCACTGTGATTGTGAGTTGCGTGCGCAGCTTGTACATTAATCGACGTGCGCTGCCTGCGCATTTCGTTTATTCTTCGTCATGCTCGCGAGAGTACGAGTGGCGAAATTGGCAAAATATTACGAGTTCGGACCGTAGACAGTCGGTCATTCATTTATTTACTTTCTTACTTATCGTAGCACGCAATCGTGCTCCAGATTTATTGGAGCAGGGTCGTCGCCTCACGGACTCCGCCCATGCCCATGCACGACTCGTTTTCGTGCGTCGGCGAGAGAACTCAAGAAATGCACGCGTATCATGCGAACAACGTTGTCCGTTCAAGGTGAAACGCTCCGGAAAACGAAAATGGATTTCCACCCGTAGCGATCGTGGAAAAATCAAGCGTATGCGCGATTGCGGCCGTGCTCCATTTTCCGGAGTCGGCGGTGATGAAGCCGGCCGGAAGTCCGCGGTACTTCCTTATTTATACCTTACTAATCAATCTTAATTAAACGACTGCAATTGCTGCAAATACGCGCGAATCAAATAAAAACATTATTGCGAATAATACGAGATTATTAAATTTAAATGTCAATTTATATACCCAATTTTAGTTGCTCCAATTATTTTTCTAGGTCGTCACTGCTTCCTAGTTTTCTTATTCAATACATCGTTAATTTAACTAAAAATCAATGGAGTTAAACAATTTATCTCAAGAAAATATATTCAATTTAACTCAAACGAAGTTTATCGATTACCAAGTGTATGTTATTTGTGTACGTTAACATGTTGCATGTTATTTACTTTAAAACTAACAGAAATAAATTGATTTACGTTTTACGTATATACGTAAAAGTTAAAAATAATAAAACGTTATTTAACTCAAAGAATTGATTAACCACTGCTCTTTTGACAGCAAAGCTCTAACGGTGGAGGATAATTAAAGAAGGGCGAGATAAAATCCGAGATGCTTCTCGGTTATGTTTTTGCAATGAAGAAGACATAGTACATATATAACAATAAATAAATGAATAACTTTTAGACATCACATGGTTCTCTGTCCAGTATTTCAAATGCATTTTAAAACATGCGCTGGCGCTAAATTTGCTTGTCGAGAGGTCGTAGTTGTCTATTGCAACGTTCAAGCGCAATCTTTCCATCAACACTGCATCAGTACGTTATAATTAATGCCTCGCGCGTCTCCTATTGTAAAGCGAGTATAAACGCAACATCGTAACATCGCGTAGCCATATCAATCCCATCGCGTGAGCGTGAATATGGACGCGCTGTCAATTAGTATGTCGGTCATAGTTTGTATACGGCTTGTAATAAGAGCGCGCGCTGTCGACGTTGCGTAATAATAAAGTGCCGTGGCCGGGTTTATTTTGGGATCGCAAAGCGAGCGACTTTGAGCGACGTCCCTATGAATGATGGGCGTTGTTGCGTATAGCAAAGTTATGCGATTCGCATAACTCGGGAAGGTCGCGACTTTCTACGCCGGTACGTCGCGGCCCGGCCGACCTCGCGAATTCGATATGCGTAATTTACGAGCGTAAACTATCTTTTCACGAGGGAACGCATAAATATCTATTTACTAAATTTATTTTCGACCAAATATCTAGCTGAGTGTATTTGGAAACGCGATACGACGGATAAAAGTATCTGCATACTCTTTGCCTCTCTCCTGGAATAATATTACACTTTTGCAAAGTGTCTCTGTTAAATTGCGTTGTATTTATACTGATATATCAAACAAAGCACTCTTTGTCTCTTCTGTGAGAATATACCAAAAAAGTCCATGTAATTTACCGTTTCGTCAAACATTTGCAAACATTCATCTGTATTTCGGAAACTAAGCCGTTTAGGACACATGTTTATATGGACTTTTTTTACTTGAAATAAACCTAAGAATCGCTCTGTTGAGTATGGCGACATACTTAACTAACAGCCTGTATATACCGAGAAAAATTGGATGTGCGAATATTTTCTTGCCCATTCAAAATTGTAGCCGCCTAATGATAATAGGTACACATCGGAAAAGGATACATGACAAACAAATCGCTTTACGCGAAGGATACCAAAAATATTCCGAAAAACTTTAGATTCACTCGCCGTTGGATTGGCGGCGGTCTGCCGAATGACGATATTAATTTACGTAAAACGGCCGAGAGGCCTCCTGATTTATTTACGAACGCATTTAGCTTTGCGCGTTCGACGCGCAAGCCGTCATTAAAATATTCTCTTTGAAGCCTAAGTACTCGAAGAGGATTACTTTCTGCTCTACGAAATATATATCTCATTTCAAACGTGTCAACGTCCGCTGTTATCCGCGGCAGGATCGGCGGTGTACCACGCACGGACATCGCACAGTAAAAACAAGCGACAATTAAATGAAATATCAATTTATTTTTATCCCTGCATGTATATTGAGTACAATAAAAATTATATATGTATCATTCTCCTCTCTCTCTCTCTCTCTCTCTCTCTCTCTCTCTCTCTCTCTGTCGAGAAAAAAAGATATCCAGACAACAATTGTCGCTCGGGAAATAAAAAGATTGGGCCTCGTCGTGTTCTACAAGTCCTGCAGGTTCATCTCACGATGTAAGAAGACAAGGTGTATCGGTCCCGAAGATGCGCAGTATGAATTTGGAGGATCCAAATATGATTTGGGGGTGTGTCGTTGTTCCCAGTATATTGCTATCGCCACTATGCGCAGTGATACGAGAAGACCTGTACGTTCTTACATCATGGCCCACCTCCTCGGAACTAATGGATGTAGCTGACAGCAGGTGCGGCGTAGGCGAGGTGCGCGTTGTGCGCGGTGTACGCGAGCGGAGCGGAGTAGGCCAGCGGTGCCGCGTGAGCGGCGTAGGTGATCGGAGCTGCATGAGCGGCGTAAGCGAGCGGAGCAGCCGCGTGGACGCCGTGGACGATGGGCGCGGGATGCGCCGAGTACGCGACAGCGGGCGCGGACGCCAGGTAGCCGGGTGCGGGCGCCGCGGCGACGCAGGCGACGAGCAGGGCGAGAAGAGCGGCGCACTTGTACATGACGACACGAAGCGGAGGTAGTCGCTGAAAGACTCTCTCTTGCGAAGATTACCCGAGTTCTTACCACTCGATTCTGATACCGAAATCTGTTCCGCGACACTTTTTTATAGGACCGAACCCCTCTTAACGCGAAGAACAGAACTGGTTTTCTATACAGACTCCCGTCCTTGTGATCTAGAAGCGCCCGCCAAGGTCTTCCGGATTCGGTAGTAAGATTTCGCAGTACTAGAGATTTGGATCGCTTCGGGAGGGTAAAACGGGGGGGCGAGGGGAACCGGACGCGAACAGGACGTGCCAAACGACGATATTTGAATGTTGGATAAATTAAACGCTCGCATCATATTGTTATAGTGTAACGATATTACAGTCGGTATATACAATGTATACCAATTCCCCTCTTTTCTGGGGGAAAATAACCTACCAAATGTAAAATGGATAATTGTAACAATTGGTCTACCGCACGTAAATAATTACATAACGTCAGAAACGAATATGCGCTATGCCACAATTATCAATTCATCAATTTAATAATATATTAAATACTTGTATATCGTATGTACAAGTATTTAATGTAAATAAATGCATTATAAATTTTAGTCGCGGAAAAGCGATCCGTGAAATTTTAACGTGCTACAGCGATATTCGTTTGTAATCTGTCAATTAACGACGAATGTACGAAACGAGGATGACGATTGCATCTTGCGTAAAATAACGCATATTTTATTCCACACACGCATGCACTCCGTTGCGTAGAAAAGCAAGGTACGGTCGGTAGTCGACGTTACGTCTAACCGGTTGTCACCGAAATCGTTGCGATTTTCGTCAGTGCGAGCTGTCACGCATTGTCATTGTTGATGCATGATTGCGCAAGGAACGGAGATAAGGATACGCAGCGGACACATGCTTACGTTTGCTCATACGACACGTTGTATGCGAAATGCGTCGTGCGAAATTGTGTAAGTCGAGCATCTACTTTCGCGACTCGTGTCACAATGCCTCCCGCTACCGATTCTGGTTTCCCACCACCCATCAGTTTCGGACAGCGCAACGTACATGGGCGTGACTATCCTTCGATCTCCGCGTTATTCGATCATTAATTCGATCATTTATTGTTAAGTCAGGTATAAATATAGAAGAAGAAGTCGAAAGAAAAGAGATGTAGAGATAATAAATTTTTCAGAGAAAAATTTTTTCAGGAAATTACTAAAGAATAATTTAGAAAGCGAATATTTTTGCGAGAGAAAGATTAATCTGTGTGTAAACTTAATAGAAATATATATTTAAGTAACAAATAAATTAAAAAGTTACTTTTCTTTTTTTTTAGAGAAAAAAACTCTTTTCTCCCAATCATTTAATCCTCTCAATTATTTTCTCAATTATTTAATCGAGGAAAAAAGTTAATCTTTCGCAGATTGTTCTTAAATCATTGCAGACCCAGAGAAGTTGGAAGTTTATAAAAAAAAAAAAAACTTTTTAGATGAACGAGTTTTAGACCAAAAAAACTTTGAGAAAAAAAAAGTTATGCATACAAGTTGTTGTGCATATAAGTTTGTTAGAACAACGTATGCGTGTTTCGTGGAACAAAACCGCCGAGAGAGAAACCCGCGAGCAAGGCGACCCGGCTCGTAAATCGTTGTAATTCATAAGCATTAAAATGGGGTAAAGTACAAAGAGGAAGAGAAGCATTGCCTTCTAAACGACCAAAGTCAGGGCAAACAACCTGGAAGCGTCCTTTACATGAACGGGTTAACGATTTTAACTGAGACCACGTCGGTCTAACGGCTGTCACGGCTACTTTAATTGTTTTAAATATTATTAACGAGATGCATCTCAGATGTAAAATGACTTGCAACGACATGAAAGCGAAGTTTAATAATACAATTATCTGTATGTTTCCACAGTCGACGTTATCAATTAAGCGGCTATTATTGTCACGTCTCCGTACGTCAAGAATTAATCGAGGAAGTGACAAGCTGTTTCCAAACGCCATTATTGCCCGAGGCAATTCGAACAACTCGTATTTTGGGCCTGTCGGCCGGTACGAAAGCTAATATGTACACGCAATAAATCGCTCGATAATTACGTATGATTGTTCCGGATACTGCTATACCGTCGAGAGTTTGATGATCGATAGTCGAGGCTATGTCATTGAACCTCTCCATCCAGGCATCATGTATTCGCAAACAAAGAGAAAGAAGCTGGCCGGAGATAAGGCCACCAACGATCACGGTCGCCCTTTCGAGTATTTCCCGCGTCCTTCTCGAAGAAACAAAACGATGATGGACAACTGCGCCACCATCGAGGCTACGTCACGTGAGGATACCAGCGAAATCTGCGAGATGCGAAGCGGTGAAGGGCGGTCTGGCGTTGAGGCCACGAACGATCAGAGGCAGTCTCCTTGGCAGTGCTCCTCCAACAAGTGGTCAGCGAAACAAAAAACAAAAAAAAAAGAGAGAAAAAAGAAAAGGGGAAAAAAAAAACGGCGCAACGGCGGCGTACCGAGCGACGTGAGGAAGGCGGCAACAGGAACCTGTGGCCGGGACCGGGTGGTCTCCGTGGGAGAGGTGGGAGAGGTCAGCCCCGACGAATATAAGGGGTCCTAGTCGCCGTGTTCAGGCATCATTCGCTCTTCAGTGCTCCGCCGAAGTACGAAGCAACACCTCAAACTTCAATCACCATGTACAAGATCGTCGCTCTCTTCGCCCTGGTGGCCTGCGTCGCGGCTGCACCCGGCTACTTGTCGCCCACCCTCCACGCGGCGCCGGTAGTCGCGGCTCCGGTGGCGGTCGCCCATACCCTCCCGATCGCCACCAGCTACGCCAACACCTACAAGGTGTCTGTGAAGAGCCCGCTAGTGGCCACCGCTCCGCTCGCCTACACCGCGCCGATCTTGAAGACTGGCCCAGTCGTCGCCGCCGCACCGGTCGTCGCTGCCGCCCCCGCCGTCGCCGTCGCCCACGCCGCACCGCTCGCTTACGCCGCCCATCACCCCGTCGTCGCCCTTCATTAAGGGAGAACCGCCGACTACAATTAACCATCTCTCTTTCGCCCATCTTCTTTCTCTCAAGACAATCTCCCACAAGCCTCCGACAATGAAGGCGTCCTTCGTCATCCAATTGGACGCGTGACGATTCATCGGAACGACCGACCGAATCGACCAGATTATCGATCAACCCAGGCACTTTGACTAAACTTGTACTGACTCAGCCTGTCCTGACACGGTCGAGCGACACCGATCGCTACGATTAATCAATAAAGTTGCCATTTCTGCCTTTAAATCAATGTGCTCCATGTGTTTATTAGTCCTTATTGACCCAACCTTTGACTTGTTAGAGAATCTCTCAGCTACAACGTATCGCGCTATTTCGAAACTTATCTTTATATTTCGGACATTACCTCCTAATCTCTCCTCGAATTCTTCTTTGCTTCTCGTTAGATTCTTAGAATAGTCTCGTCGAAGGATGTCACATGTTATCGTCGAACTGCGAGCGGTTATCGAATTCTACCTCATTGCGTTCTCACGGCGCCGTACCTAAAGAACTAATTCCTCCGTATCACGTACCACTGGGGAGCTTATCGGGGATCGCAGATTTTTCCTCGCACAGTCTCTCGGAGAATCCGAGTTTCCGTCTCGCACGGACGATCGGCAAACAACGGAGCGTCGTGATCACGGGGTGATCTCGTTCTTATAATTTCTTTTATTTCAGCACACAACGCCACGCCCGCATGGAGTACGTCCACCTACGTTGCGTCCTACCTATCCGTTTACGTGAGGCTTTTCGCAAAATAGGTTTTGGAACGACTCGATGAAAACTGTTTACCGACTTGGCGATCAACGGTTGTTTGAGTTTCGG